GATAACCCTAATAAACTAAAAAGGGATTTGCTAGATCCTCTTTAGCCTTAAGAACCAAGAACAAAACAGAATAAAATTTTGATTCAAGCATATGTGAAGTGGCGTGGAAGAGAGAAAAGGGGGCTGGGGTTTCTATCAAAATGATTGAAATGAATCAATTAATTAATTTCACAAAGTGTTGCACTTATATAGTGCACACTTTGCCCTATTCCATCATGGAATAGGCTTGGGCACCAGCCCAAACAACCCCTATGTCCAAACAGCCCAATTTAGATATTTTAATTATTATTATTATTATTTCAATTAAATTGAATTAATATATATTTATCATATATTAACATTTAACAATAACAATAATTCATTTAAATATATGCGAACACATATTTAAATATAATTTCACTTATTTAATTTTATTAACAAATTAAATAAAGGCTATGACCTCAACAAATTTAATTGCACTATGAAATTACGAAAATACCCTTTTGCCTAAAAAGACGAAAACACCCTTCTTATAAATTGGCTCTTAAATTATCTTCTATGTGTGTGACCCGTAGGCTCCTCATCATACCAGTAGTGTGTAGTATCGCGAATAACACCAATTAATCGTCTCACTACACACACACCAAGATTAGCTTCTAGCAAGGCATCATGGCCACCCGATAGATTCGAATTCAGTAAAGCAGCTACTTGTCAACAATATGGTTATCGTACAATCCAATCCTTTCATCATACATTATCTCAACGAGACCGAGGCATAGAAATAGTGTCAACGTTGGCTACTCTCGATATTATGTATTCAATTACTGGACCAATGACTTGAATTATAAACTAAATAAAGTAACAACTCAATCTCACTGTGGCCACAGTTTTAGTGTCATTGCCATTTACTGAATTGCACCAAGAGATAACTTCCCTCGTACCTGGGAGTGATGAATCCTCTGTCGATCCACCATAGTCTTAATACACTCCTTGATGCAACCAATCACTACCGTATTGACAGCTCTAAATAGAACTACTTTAGGCTAGTGTCAAACTACACCAATCGGTGCACAAGGCGCTCCGATGATCTCAAGTCTAAGGATCGTATGCACCACCATTCGTTAGAGGATTTGTTCCATAGACACTGGGGTTACCATCCATATGGAATCCTCTGGTGGGTCAGTCCAGTGAACTTGCCTACAGCAAACACCCATGTGTTGCACCAGGTTGTCACCAAACAACTTTGACAAGTGAGATCAGTCACTACCTTTCGACAGGGTCGTTCAACAGTATGATAGTCATACTGTATTATCTGTGCTCTTACTTCAGAATAATACCGGGGCTACAGACGTTTCTAGAATGGCCACCATATGTTCTCATAGAGTTCTCACTATCAAGATTTGAAACACTTGATACCTTTGTCACGGTTCTACCATTCTAAGGACATATATCAATACATACAATGATGATTTACGTGATATAGAATAAAATTTCTTTTATTGATCAATGAACATTATTACAAATAGTCAATTCTACAATAATTGATTAGCTCTAGGGCACTTACTCTAACATATATAGTGCATGTGTCAAAACCCTATTCCAATGAGGAATAGGCATGGCTCCAACCCTTGTATCCAAACACCCTCTCTTTTGGTATTTTATTTTAATTAATTATTATTTTAACTAAAATCAATTAATATATTTATGAAATATATTAACATTTAATTAATAATAATAATTCATTTAAATATATGCGTACATATATTTAAATATAATCTCACTAATTTAATTTTAATATTAAATCAAATCCAAGCAACAACCTCAGCAAATTTAATTGCACTGTGAGATTACCAAAATACCATTTCGTCCTAAAAGACGAAAATAACCCTTTGTACAAACTGATTCTTAAATTATCTTCTGTGTGTGTGACCCGTAGGCTCCTCATCATATCGACAGTGAGTAGTATCGCGATTAACACCAATTAATAATCTCACTACACACAGACCAAGATTAGCCCTAGCAAGGCATTATGGCCACCCGATAGATTTGGATTCAACGAAACAGCTACCTATCAATGATATGGCTACCGTGCAATCAAATCCTTTCATAATCTGTTATCTCATCGAGACTAAGGTATAGAAATAGTGTTAACCTCAGCTATCCTCGATATCTATGTATTTAGTTACTAGACCAATGACCGGAATAATAAATTAGATTAAGCAACAACTCAATCTCACTGTGGCCACAACTTTAGTGTCATCGCCATTTACTGAATTGCGCTGTGAGATAACTTCTCCTATACCCAGGAGTGATGAATGCTCTATCGATCCACCATAGTCTTGATACACTCATTGATATAGCCAATCACTACCATATTGATAGCTTTGAATAGAACTACATTGGGCTAGTGTCAAACTACACCAATCGGTGCACAAGGCGCTCTCTTGATCTCAAGTCTAAGGATCATATGCACCACCATTCGTTAAAGGATTTTTTCCATAGACACTGGGGTTACTGTAATATTCTGTCTAGCTAGTAGTTCTTTGGAAAAATATAAGTAAAATTCACTAACATGTTATAGAAAAAATATATATGTATATAAGAATGTAATAGTGGGCCCAAAATAAATTTAACTTTATATACAAATCACTACATCAAGTAATAAAGTCACAAAAATAAGTACAAAGTAATCTCGGACAGTGGTGCCATTCTCCTCCACTACTTGACGTTCCTCCCGACCGCATCTCATCTATTACCTGCAAAAATATTGAAATCAACGGAGTGAGCACTAATTGCTCAGTAAGTAAACCCACAATACTTCTATTCTTTCTCCGTTACTCAGATCCTGGATTTTCTTTCCTTACACCAAACTTCTCAATTCTTCTCTGCTCTTTCTAAGATTCTAGTTTCTCACTTACCGATATGTAAGCACAAATTGGGAAACTAACTCGGGGTAGTAGAGATGGCATGATGCATATGCACAAATGCGTAAACATTTTCTATGCAATGCATTTTCTTTTCTGTTTTCTTATTCTGTTTTCTATTCCTCATTTTGTTTTTTGTTTCCTTTCTATTTTCTTTCTTTTTCTGTGTTTCTTCCTTTTACTTTTTTTCTTCTTCTGTTTCAATTCTCTCTTTTCTGTTTCTCTTCTTTCTTTTCTGTTTCTCTTATTTTCTATTCTTTCTTGCTTTTCTATTCTTTCTTTCTTTCTTTCTTTTCTTTTCTATTCTTTCTTTCTTTCTTTTCTTTTCTTTTCTATTATTTCTTTGGCAATCAGACTCGGTTAAGGCATGGATTCAGAACCTTGGTCATGTGAGTGTATTCTCAAATTCTTTCTTGGGTACAGTCCTCATCCACATGCACTTCTTATGGACTGTACAAATTCTTCTTTTTTATTCTTAGCTGCTCACTAACGGCGGCATGCATGTGGGGATATTCTTCTTCTCTGTCGCTCACAGGTTCTCGATCGCAATAACCTTCTGTTCTCTTATCTTTTTATATTTCTTTAAATAAAATCTCATATTTGAGGTATTCTTTAATTATGTTCTTTAGATAATGATTCTACAATTAATTTCTTTTCTTTCTTTCTCTTTATTCTTTAACTTTCTCATACATGTATATGTGCATGTAAATATGCTCATTCTTTGCTATTCTTTCTAAATGCAAATGCTCAAATGTAAGAATGCATTATGGCATATAAAGATATCATTNACGGGAGCAGGTCACCCGTAACGTGACTCTTCCCACGTCAGCCCTTTGTTTTCCCGGGTATAACAAATTGTTTGACTAAATGCTCTAGACATAATCAGGTAGAAATTTGATGTTTGAAATAGTTTGTAATTATTTTATATTTTCATTTGTTGTGGGTAAATTGTGATGTTTGTTAATTCAGATTAAATTTTTTTAATTGTTGTTGATTGGTTTAATTATTGGTATTATTCTGTTGTATTTTATAATTAGTTGTTAGTTATTGATTTATTTGTAAATTGGTGAAACAAATTTTTAGTGGAATGAGTTGTTTATTATTTGCTGATGACTAATTTGATTTTTCTTTTTTGTGTCTAATAAAATGTTATTTTAGATCATAGATATGGCTCCTAAGGATTTGATGAAGTTTGTTCGTAGACTTGAAGCTAGAAATGCATCCAGGGCGTAACAATGGATGAATCAGGGACGAAGTTATTAAATAAATAAAAGACCTGTGATTCCTCTATATTAGTGTCTGATCCTGTTACACCTGCTTCTGGTTCATGTCATGTCAAATTGATTGAAGAAAAAGATAATGATACAGAAGAGCTTCCATTATATAGATTGATCAAGTGCCAGAAAACATATCAGCAAGAGAGTGCTGATCTAATTTTAAAGCTTTATCTGCTAAAGATTTAGACAATATAGTTTGCAGTGTGGGTAGACATGTATATTTTTTGACACTATTGATTTCAGATTTTCATTCGTAATATTTTTAATATTCTAATATTAATTTTTTTTTTGGTTTGAATTTTTTGAAATAGGGTTATGATGTTATGTTAGAAGTCAGGGAACTGTGGCTAGCTGCAGAAGTCATGGCCTCAAATATGGAGAAACAAAATGAACTCATAATCTTTGAGAACCATAAAATCGAAAAGGAGAAGAAGGTTTTGAAAGAGAGCTTAGATAAGGTTGAACATGATTTAGAAGTTGTCATGATGCATTTAAAAGTGCTGAACAGAAAATTGGAATTCAACAGGAAGAAAATGAACTTTTCACAAAAAACGAATAAGGAATTGTGTGATGAGAGTGTAAAGATAAAATCTTTACTTGTTAAGGCTAAAAAAGAAAGGGAAGAGGCTTGTGATACTGTGATGGATATGTATGTGGCCACCAGAATAGCCTGTGCAAATGCATTCAAATTGAAATATCCAAACAAAGACTCCATGTTTTCAGAGAAAGTTGTGTTGAAGGAAGACCTTTCTTCTAGCAAAGTTTGTGTTATAGTCTGTAGAAATAAAAATGATGTGTAACTGTTGTTTGTAATATTTAATCAATTTTGGTATGGTAATTTTTGTACAATTACAGAATCAGCAATATATCTAACCTTGTATTTTGTCGAACACTTCTTTAAAAACAATTTTAATTTGTCTTCTGTTTCTTCTTCTTTTTGCACCAATAAGATCTTAATCCCTTCTCTTGAAGTTACTCTCCATACAACAACGTATAATTGTCCATGAGTAAATACATGATGCTTCATGTATAACCCCACTGTTTTTAGAGATCGGCCTTGGCTTTTGTTGATTGTCATGCAAAAGCCAACTGCAATTGGCAATTGTCTTCTTTTCAGTCTGAAGGGCCACTTCGTATCTACATTGGACAATACTATTCTTGGAATCACAACATTATGCCCAATATTTGATCCTGTAATAGTCTCTGCTTGTATGAACCGGTTTCCTAGATGGGTTACAATTAATCTTGTGCCATTGCAAAGACCATCTGCTTGGTTCAAATTGCGTAGTAACATTATTGGAACCCCAATTGTTAATTGTAATTCATGTTTCGACATACCGGAGCATATCAAAGTGATCAGGAATTCAGTTGGATATAGGATATAATCATCATTTGACATTCCTCCTGCTTTGCAAGTTGTATCCGAAAGTAGTATTTCTTCCCTTCCGATGGCAACTTCTGAATAATATACTCATTTAATTCATGAACTATGTCATTTTTTGCTATAAGAATTGTTCTCTCCCTTACATACTAAGCACTTCCTATTTGATCACATAGACCTGGGAAAACAGCATTGAGAATGGTCTCTTGTGGAGTGCAATCTTCAGTAAGATTTAAGTCATCAGGAATTTGTAACAGGCTTTCATCTTCTAAAACGCATGTTCCTTCTCCAATACGAAGTAACCATCTGTCAAAAGCAGACATCTCATCCAAATCTGCAGTGCTACTGTCATTTTTCTTCAATCTCATGTTTTCTATAAGTTTCAACATTGTTATATTTTCCCAAAGATAAGATGAACATAAACATGCTTGCATTATATCAATTTTTTTTCCTTTCGGAATAAAGGCAAAATTTGTCTGAAATTTCCGCTAAGAGCAATAGTCATACCTCCAAACATCTTTTCAACATTTGATTGGTCATCCTCAGATAAAATATCTTTCAATGATCTGTCAAGAGTTTCAAAGCAATACCTATTTGCCATAGGTGCTTCATTTCAAATTATCAAAGACGTTTTCCGAATGAGATCTACCAATTGCGTGCCTTTTTTAATATCACATGTACTCTTGTTAGTGATGTCTAAAGGTATCAGAAAATGTGAATGTGTTGTTCTTCCTCTTGGTAACAACAATACAGCAATTCCCGTAGTTGCAATAGCAAGTACAATTTTGCCTTTAGATTGTAATTTGCTTATTATTGTTGCCCATAGGAATGTTTTGCCTGTTCCAACATGCCCGGAAACAAAAAAAGTCATCCCTTTTTTATCTTCAACTAAATCCATGAGTGAATGAGATATATTTCTTTGCCAGTTGTTGAGACCATTGTACTAATTATCATGCAACGTTATATTGCTATCAATATGTCATAGCTCATCACCTCAACAATTAATATATTTTGTGTACTGTCAAATTGAGAATGATTTGGAATTGGAATTCCATGGAAATTAACCATTGTTTTCCCTCCTTTTTTTAAGCAAGTCTTCAATTTCAATCAATGCATGATTTTGTAATTGTTCATCACTAAATCTCGCTGCTTGCATTCCCATTTTCCGTTTAAGAATATATGCCATATCTTCAGATAGCTTAACTGCATTTGTTCTCCACAAATCTGTAGGACTAACAACTTCATTTAGTAACAGAATTGTTACAAACAGTTGTTGTAACTGACTTCCAGAAGCCCATACAGATGCTTCGTCTAAGCAAACATTCCATTCTTTACCATCATCCAGCAAACCTAAAGAGTAACATGCATCCTTGAATATTGGGTGTATCACCCCATTTATAGCTCTAATATATGCACACGATATTGCTCCTTTAAATAAATTTAGGAGCATTCGTAAATAATATTTCTCACCATATGCAAAGTAGATTCTGCCAATACATTTTCCATTTTTTCTTTCAGTCCATTTTCTTTCAGTAGCATTCCAAACCCATTTACTTGGGAAATTAGAATAAGTCAATGATCTTGCCTGAGGGTATTCGTCATTGCATTTCATCCACTCTATTAACTTAGTCTGTGTAACAGCTATGCTTTCTAAAGATGTTACCAAGCACTTATCTGGATAGAAGAGTTTGTTCGTTCTCCAAGTGGAATGGTAATCTCTCACCTGCCAATTCTCTGTAATAGGTATCAAATTGAAGTATCCTCTAGCAAGATTCCATAGCAGATATGTATATGTAATTTGAATATTGAATTCATTAATGTTAAAATTATAATAAATAATAACAAATGATGCTATGAGATTATATGTTATCTATTTGGATACATACATGCAATCAAGATAAGCTTTTATTTCGTCCACCATTCTAGCATTCGTGGATCAGAATTCGCTTCGTTGTTGTTATTAGGCCGTATAGAAACTGCAATTCTGTCAGGCCCTTTGTTGATGTATTTGAACAGATACTTGACTGATCTATGTTGATCATAGATCTTTGCATTAATGTGGGCATCAAACTTAGTCAATAAATTCCTATTGTAAGGAGCAACAAAAAGATTATTCAATTTGACTCCTTTTTTCTCAATAAATGCGCCAGTATCCCACCTTCTATATACTGGGTATCCTTCATCATCGACAATTGTGGTTTTCACAAACTTCTTTGGAAAATGCTTTTGACATTTTCCTTTGTGCATGCAAGGAGAATTTTTATTTGCATCACCACATGGGCCATGGATCATGTAGTTCTCAACAGCAACCAAAGCAAGAGGGTTGCTTTCTTTATCCGGTATTTCAGCAGAGATCATATTATCTATTTTTTATGCTGGAGGATTCTTGTACTTAGGAGCAAGAAAAAGCAATATATGTGCATGTGGAAGTCCTCCTTTCTGGAACTCAACTGTATAGACAACTAGAAAAAATAATATAATATAGTAAATATTGGTTTATATAACATAATTGCATATGATAAATAATTAATAAAGCAGTTATTTTCAATAGAATACACATGTTATTCATCAGAGTACTTGCTTCAGTCTCACCAAAATATTTCTCGTGTTTTATTTCTCTCATTAATTCAAGTAATTTTATCTCAAAGACTCTGCACACTGCAGATACTGTACCTTCTTCATCACATTGCCCAATAGCATTTTGTATATATTGAATTTCTGGCCATTTTGGATTACATGTGAATGTCAAAAAAAAAAAAAAAAAAAAAAATTATCAGGATATCCATAAGTCCTGCAAATTGCCATAGCATCTTGATAATTTTGAACACAATATTGGGGACTACCAGTGTGAAAGGATGGCAACAATGCAGATTTGCCTATATGTTGTGGATTCACATCTCCATTTGAAACAACATCCATCAATCCATTGTACAAATCGCTTCTTAATGTTTTTTGGTTATTTATAATCCAATGAAACCTTTCTTCTTTGATAGCCATATATGCATCTACAATATATTGTTGCAGCAGTCTGCTAGATTTCATCAGAGTATGACCTGCATTTAATCTATACTACAATTGAAGCACATAAAAATGTCTCATTGTTACTCTTTTTCTCTTAGAAGATTCTCTGTTCTCCAAAACTCTATGATCAATGTCAATTCCGTATCTATCTTCTCCGTATGGAAATAAAATTGGATAACTTAATGCCATAAAACTTGGATGTAAACAAGTAATTCTTTGAAGACATTCTTTTGAATGGTAAACAATAACATCTTTTTCACATTCATATATTCTAATATCACCAACTATCAAACCTACAATTTCATATGCAAATGGCAAATTGTACTGTCTTCCATCTCTTTCTCTATGAATTTTTAATTTTAAATGCATTTCTGGAACATTGTTTGAATGAATATTGTCCTTGGCAAACTGAAAAACTTTAATCAATTCATTGTTCTTTTCTAGCATGAATTGCAATTCCTGCAACAAATCCTTGTCAATGCACCCTTAATCTAGATAATCTCCCATACAATTCAATCTGTGACTGGTTTCACATTGTGTGTCGTATATACACAACTATGCAAACGTCAGTTTCTTTCCAGTAGGTGGAAGCAATGACCTTATATGATGCTAATCTGTCCACAAAGTCTAAAAACAAATGCACCACTCCCTTTGTTGATATCACGATCAATTGTTCCTCCCATTAAAGTAAATGAGAATATTGTATTGTACATTCTTATCTTGTTTCTGAATTCAGCTCCTTTCGATCCATTGGCTACGTCCAATAATTCTTTCAATGGTTCAGGTGGTACTTTCAACAGTGGTAATTGAACTTTGCCATCCATACAACATAACGAAAATGCAGTAGAGGTTGGGTTTCTACTTTTAATAGTACGCTTTTCATACCACAAAATTGCTCCACAATATTTGCAAGTGTAGGATGGTTCACCAAAGTTCCAGGGCCTTACATTTACTGTTCACGAGAAAAATAAAATTACAAATATAAGAAATTTAATAATATTGCTTTAAAAAAAAAAAGTTCAATAATACTCATAAAATTCACGGTTACATTTTTCTGATGGAGTAATGTCTACATTAGATCTTTGTTTTTTGAGTTCACTATATATATATTTTAGATAAATATTATCATAGTCAAAACATTGTAATTATTTGCAAATATTTGTAAAACTCACGTACGTTGTTGTTTTTTTGACCGAGTAACCTTTTCTTTAGGCTTTTGTTTTTTAGATAGTTTAAGAGCTACAAATAATGTAATCTTTCTTACCTCTCATTCTCTTTAATGCAAACGTTCTGTATGTCCTATTCTCTTTGAAATTTTGCTTCTTCAATATGTCATCTAGAATTATTATTTTATTAGTGGTATGTTAGCAATAACTAATTTGTTGCTACTAAAGACGTATTGCAAATTCTTTGTACACAAAATAATTACCAAATATGTATTTCTTGCATTAAATTAATCAAAAGAAGCACAATTACCTTGATGTTCAAGTACATCATGCAGTACATTGCTTTGGTTTTCAGAAGTGCCTTCATCACGGTGATATTTTTTTGATGGAGTAACCTTTTTATTAGATCTTTGTTTCATAAGTGGATTAAAAGCTGCAAATTATGAATGTATTTATTAGATAAATAAGATGATAATAAAACAATTGTCATTATTTGAAATTAGAATATTCATTACGTCTCTTTCTTTTTAATTCAGACATTCTGTATGTCGTATTCTCTTTGATTTCTTGCTTCTTCAATATTCGATCTGGCATTCAAAATAATAATAATAACATTCTCAGGTTTTTATAAAACAATCAACTTATTCTTGCAAATCCTTTATACACCAAATAATTAACAAATATATATCTCTTTCATTAACTCAATTTAAATGTATAATATTCAATAACAGCTATGTATAAACTATAGTTTTTCTAATAGTTGAAATGATCAAAAATTTGTAATTCAAAATTTTTTGGTACATGCTTATGTAACTGTGCAAACTAAAGTCACAAAGAGAAAGTATTAAACCATTCGCTATTGCTCGATATAATTCTCCTTATAGTTGACTAACAGCATTAGTTGTTCAACACTTTATTGTTAATAGTTTATTATCAATATCATATTCGGAATTAATGAACGAAATAGAGAAGCAACAGGAACAAAATAATAATAGTAAAACAAAACAAACAGTAAACAAAGAAATTATACGCGCGATTTACCCTGGTTCACCTAATATGGGCTACATCCAGCTGAGTCAATATTATTGAAATATGCCTCAGCTCTCTCGTTTACAATGAATGAATTGCTCTCACCTCATAACAAGAGAAAAGTATGTTTATATACTAGGTTTAAGAGATTAAACCTAGTTTTACATGGATTCTTATTCCTAAGCCCAACCCAAAAAGGAATTAATAACTTAAAAGAAATCCTACAGCGGTTATACATGGAAAAGCCCAAAACCGCCGAGTGCGTCTCCGTTACCCATTAATGCTGAAGTAGTCGACAACTCCAACAATTAACATGTTATTTTTCGGCATGCCAATAGTAATAGGTAATTATGACTTCTATTGTTCATTATAGCTAATTATAATTGCAGAAGATATAACTTAGAACCGGATATAAATTACAGCTACATGTATCTCAAGTAATGAATAGATTCATATTCAAATAAATATCTTTAATATTTCATATTAGATTCATGTAAACATAACGACATAACTCATACATTGTATTCTTTGAAATTCAGAAATTTTAATAAATCACTTTATCAATGTTTTCAAATACATGTTCATTTATATTAACACATCTGTAATATTCCATTAATTTACAACAAAGAAAAGTCATTTATTTACAACAAACGGGTTTGAATGGTAAATATACAAAACTATTTAACGAAATTAAATTACCTTTATCAAGAACGATATTGTAAAGTTGAAGATTGTACGAATACGATCAATATGAATTGTATATCAAACTTTGCAGAAATCGCAGATGGATTAGTGTGTTTATGAATATTAAAACTCAAACAAAATAATTAGAATATAATTAAAGAACTAATAAATAAATGGTATAAAATAGAGATAAATTACCAGATATTGATGTGGATTCAATTGAAGAGATTGTTTTCCAGAGATTACGAACGAATTGATCTAGGTTTTAAAATATTAAAAGTTACAAAGAAAAATATAGTTATAAAAGTTTCCCTAAACTTTGTGAAGAGATAGCTTTGAAGATATTGCGGACCAAGTTATCTAGATTTTTAAATATTAAAAGTCAGAAAGATTAATATGGTTATATAAGTTTTGAAAATATTTATTGCACTATACATCAATTCGTTAATAATCATATACACAAATAATACAACACATTTATTCAAAACACGCAGTTCATTTTTAACAATAAAAAACTCAACAGATACAATGTATCAAACTGTTTATTTTGAAATAAATATCTATAAGCATTAATAAATTAACTTTAAAATGTACATATGATAACATGAAATTTACCATATATTGGATTTAAGTTACATGAAAAAGTTAATATAGGTGATTAATGCCTCTTTGTGGTTTTAATTGTGTCCCATCGATTTACATGCATTGTATCTAACTATAAATAATTACCTTGATTTACCAGAATATAAAGTGTCAATTTTGTACAAACAGCCAAGCAAAAAATAAGAGTCAAATTTAACAATAAACGTATCCCAAGACATAGTTTGATATTAATATTTATTTAAAATGTAGATATTCTGGGAAAAAAAAACATAATTAATGGATGAATCTTTAAATTTTTTAAGCTTTGCTATTATTTTTAATGTATATAATATTTCAATTTAATAATTATTAATATTTTTAAATTTATTAAATCTAAAATATTTCAATACGGTCCGTTTAACATAATACCGGTGTTTAAAATTGATTTGGGGATTTAGGGCATTTTCTTTTTACTTCTATGTCTTGTTCATTGAAATTGTGTCATAGTCTGCTGTTAATAGTTAAATTGATTAGAGTAAACTTGTTTGATATTCTAGTTTCTTATCATCGTTTTCTTCCGCCTTTGTCTGTCTTTGTCATCAATTTGTTGGTAAGCAAGTTTTTTTCTTATTCTACTTAGCTTCGATTCCAATTGCTATTTGAAAATGCTTGTTTTAGAAATACCTAGTGTTGTTTTAGATGATCTTTCGATTTTTTGAAAGCAATATAATATATCTGATGATTTTGATTTATTACCTTGTGATGCAAATAATTTTTTTATATGCACCAAACCTCCTCCTGGATTTTTTACTTTCTACGAAGTGTTTTCGCAATGTGGACTTGTTCCTTCTTTCTCTCCATTTGTTGAAGAAGTAA